TCAAGATTATGAGAAAGAAATAAAATTATTGATTAAAAAAGACTTGTTACAAAGAGATCTGACATTAAGCGTAGCAAGTTTCAAAGTTTCAGTATCAGCGGTTGCGGTCGGCTGATTCTTACACGGAACAAGAATTAGATTTTCCAGATTAGACTGATTAACTCCAGATGTTTTTCTGTAATGTATTCTTTGTGTTATCACTAAGGGAATGGCACAGGTGGCTTCATGACAGGGCCCCAGCCGGGTCTCTCCTCTAACTAGACTGCCAGTGGCTGCGAAGCAGAGACCCTGTGCATCCTAGTGTTTAGAGAAAAGAGGGGTAGGGGAAGGCGGGGGAGGAGGATGGAGAGGTGGGTGGCTTTTGGGTGTTGAACAAGGGGGGCAGGGAGGTGGATGGGTTTTTGGTGATGGGTTAGGGGAGGGGCAGGCTGAGTTGGGTGGTGGACGAGGGGGGAGTGGAGGTGGAGGGTTTCTTGGTGCTGAGTTAGGGGGGGGAGGTGGGCTAAATGAGCAGGAGGGGGGGGTGGAATACTTATGGGGTTAGAGGAGGGACGGGTGGATTTTGTGGGAGAATTTGAGTTGGACGCCCTAGGTGGCTTTGGAGGTACGTATGGGGAGTAGTTTTGAATGTTAGATAGGACTCTTGATCTGGCTACAGTGGGTGTGAGAGGAATAGTCTTCATCGCCGATCTTATCATGCCTGCAGAGTGTTCCGGTAAATCCAGTAGTGAAGGCGGGGATAGAAAACAAAGGGAAAGGTCGTCCTCATTTTCCCTAGATGGAGTGGATGTAGCGGGGGGGACCCAAGCCAGGTCCATGGAAGGTGATGAGGGAGTCTTTGGTGGAGACAGAGGTGGTTGAGGAACCCCCAGTACAGGCCTGACTGTAGCCTGGAGTAATGGGGGAAGCTTCACGGGAGCTGTAGGTGGGGAAGGTGCTGCTGAAGATGACGGAGCAGCCACTGCTGCTGCTGAAGATGATGGAGCAGCCACTGCTGCTGCTGTATCCACTGCTGCTGGTGAAGATGATGGAGCAGCCACTGCTGCTGCTGAAGATGATGGAGCAGCCACTGCTGCGGCTGTATCCACTGCTGCTGCTGAAGATGATGGAGCAGCCACTGCTGCTGCTGTATCCACTGCTGCTGCTGAAGATGATGGAGCAGCCACTGCTGCGGCTGTATCCACTGCTGCTGGTGGTGCTGTATATGCTGATGGCGCTGATGAAGATGTGGCAGCTGCTGATGATGCTGGGGGTGGAGGCGTTGAGCTCTTTCGAAGCTGTGGAGGTGTTGAGTTCTTTTGGAACCTTGGAGGTGTTGAGTTCTTCTTGAATCGTGGAGGTGTGGAGTTCTTTTGAGGCGGTGGGGGTGCAGAGACCTCGGGAGTCGGTGGAGATGGTCGTGATGTCTGTGCCCTTTGCTTCTTCTTTCTCCCTTTCAACGGCTGCACGCGCTGCGGAGGCTGAGGTCTTAGGGCAGATGCAAAGTTATCCATCAGCACTTTTACTCCGTAGTTGTTCAGATGTGGGCCTTTTTCTTCAAAAAGCTCGTGCCTATTCCAGAACAGATTAAAGTTTTCAATGAAGCCAAGTCCTCTGCGTGAACACTCATTGAGTAGGAATGTGTTTAGCTGATACAGACGGCTAAACTTCTCCATTTTTCCATCTATATTTGGCAGTGGGCCACTAAGAAAAATTGTTATGTCCATTTTCTTGAGGTCATCCAGTAACAGCGTTAAATCCATTCGTAACTTCTCGCTTGCCTTCTCATAGATATCTACCGCCCCCGTGTGGATCAATAATGTACGCACACCACTGTTCTCAGATAACACTTTAGGCAGGAGAGTTCTTATCTCAGCAACTTTAGCAGAGTGAACTGAGACAGTGAGCGTGGACTCCATGTTTACATTTTTCACCGAGCCATCTCCGATAAGGACACAGTTTGTCCTTGGTGGAGGCGCTGCAGTTGTTAGCAGCTTTGTTGTAGAGACTACTGCTGATTCATCTTCCAAAAGTGGTGAAAAGCGGTTTCTTGTAATTAAAGATTTTTGCTGTGGCATTATGACACTCTTGCTATCATTAGCTTTGCCTTGTTTGGGCTTGGCACCATATGTGTTCCAACAATTGTCTCTGTTGATTTTGGGAAATGAAATAGTGTCATCATAACTTACGTTCTGTCCATGTGGTCCATTTCCTTTCACTGGTATTGTTGTGTTCAGCCCCAATTCTGATTCAAGTACAAACATTCGGTCTTGAAGAAGTTTTAGCTCCTGTTTGAGTGAAAAACAGCCGTCGCAAAGTTTTGTTCTTTCCCGTCCTCCCGACATGCTGTAAGTTAGGTAAATTCCACAAGTCTTGTGTTGAAGTTTGTAAAAAGGAGTAATCCGTGTTTTGTGGAATAAAAATGTAAGCAAAAATGATTAAAGGAGATAAAAAAGCAGCAAGCGAGGAGCAGCAAGAGAATGCGACTGCTCTCAGCAGAGATGAAATCCTGTGGTCTCCGAACCGGACCCCCTCCGACCCCTGGCCGCGCCTAGAAATTCTATCCATAAAGACAGTGAACAGAACCGGTGACAAAGGGCAGCCTTGGTGGAGGCCAACATGCACCGGGAACAGGTCTGACTAAAGCCTAGTGTATACTTGTGCGGTGCGGCTTACAATAGCACATAGTACGCAAGCACATTTGTGTTTATACTAGTGCTGTCCAACGATTAAAATATTTAATCGCGATTAATCGCATGAATTTCATAGTTAACTCGCGATTAATCGCAAATTAGTCACACATTTGCGTGCTGTGTGCAATTGCTTTTTTTATTGAAAACAATGTGTAGTGTTATATTACACACTAACATTTGATGCAAAATCATCAATAAATGGATGACAAAATAATTGGTAACAAAAAGCCCCTTCAATGTGTGTGTGTGGGTGTGTGTGTGTATGTGTGGGTATAGACCATAGACTGTATAGAAACATCATGGTGTCATTATGATGATGATAAACAATCTGTAAATATTTTGTAAATTTGTTCATGTAAATACTCTATGCTGTTTCTCTGTTTACCTTCGGTATATCTATGACTGTATACTGTTTGCTTGTATTGCCTTTTTTATTAACCCCCCCCCCATCTCCCACTTCATGTCCCCCCCCCCCCCCCCCCTATGTGCCCTTCTGGGTTTCTTCTTTGGCCCCCTGTATCTCCAACTACATATTGTTTGTAATCTCTGTCTACAATGTATCTGAACTAGTCCTTTTCTTTGTTTCTATGTGTTTGTCTGCAATAAAAAGTAAAAAAAAAAAAAAAAAATATTATTTTTTTTTTTTATTGCGCGATAAAAAAAATGACGGCGTTAATATTGATTTGCGTTAACGCGTTAATAACGCGCTATTTTGGACAGCCCTAGTTTATACTCCTTGCGGAGTTTTGAGGAGAATATTGTAATTCCACAACCAACCACATGATGGCGATCTCACAGGAGTTGCATGAGAAACCAAAGCAGTCTCATTTACGCTGCTTCTTTCTCCTCTTCAGAACAAAAACATGAACAAACCGAGCTGTTTGAGATCATTACATGTGTTTCTACTGTAGGTTTAAGTGACAGTTCTATGGACTCATCGTTTAAACTCATTTAACTGTTATGTTGTGAATAAAGACACAGTTCTTGTTGGAAACATAGTTATTATTAAATTGTATTCAGCACAAACAGCAAAACAATAAGTGGTAAATATCTGAGGCAAACATGAACAATTTAGTTGAACAATCAAGTGCAGGAGGAATGGAACAGACGTGATAAGCTACGATTGCAGATTCAAACAAAGACAGGAACAGTGCAAAATAAATGACTGCACAGTTTATAAGTTATATATATGTTAGATAGTCCACAGTCTCCTGTATATCAGGCTCTGAGCCCAAACTGCTTTTCCTTCGTTTCCTTCGTTTCCTTCAAAGCACAAAGCAGTCTGCTCCAAAATGCCTCGTCCATGCTCCTGCAGCCGCTTCATGCTTCCGCCCAAAACACATACACGGACCAATCACTGCGGAGCTTCCTTGCGGCACCCCTTATGTAGTTAGAAAATTTCGATGCTGCGCGGCAGGCCACGTAAGGGCCTTGCTGTAAGCTCCGCGCCACGCAAGAATACACTAGGCTTTACTGCCGGCAATGCGAACACAGCTCCTCGGCAGAGGACCCCGGACTCCATACTCCCGGAGAACTCCCGGGAAACACGATCGAACACCTTCTCCAAATCCACAAAACACATGTGGACAGGTTGGACGAACCCATGAACCCTCGAGTATCCGATGGAGAGTATAGAGCTGGTCCAGTGTTCTGAGGCTGGGTTGAAAACCACACTGCTCCTCCTGAATCCGAGATTCAACCATCGGCTGTAGCCTCCTCTCCAGTACCTTGGAGTAGACCTTACCCGGGGAGGCTGAGGAGTGTGATCCCATGATAATTGGAACACACCCTCTTGTCCCCCTTCTTGTAGAGAAGGACCACTACCCCGGTGTGCCACTCCATTGGCACCGCCCCTGATCGCCACACGTTGCTGCAGAGACGTGTCAGCGAAGACAGTCCTACAACTGGGGGTGGCATGGTGGCTGTGTGGATAGCACTCTCGCCTCTCAGCAAGTAGGTCCTGGGGTCTTTCTGAGTGGAGTTTGCATGTTCTCCCCATGCTTGCGTAGGTTTCCTCCGGGTACTCCGGTTTCCCCTACCACTAAAAACCTGCACACTAGGTTAAATCCTCCAGCTTTGGTAGTCCTGACCAAGCCGAGCATCAACATCTGGAGATGGGTTCCCGGGCGCTGTACTACGGCGACCACTGGGTCAAATGCAGAGGGTGAATTGCCCTATGGGGGGACACTTTTGTCTTTTGCACATTCCGAGTCATTCTATCCATGCCAAATGTGACATGTATATTTCTCCAGTGTGAGATCAGTAAAGTCTCTTCTTGTATTATATACATTTGTTTAGGGCTATGCTTGAGCTATAAAAAGAGCTACTGAAAAATACTGTAATTGTTTTTTACTTAGAAAAGGCTGCAGCATGTTTTGGGCTCCACTTTCCTTGCACTTGGGGCTTCAAAGGTTGTGGATGCTGCACTTCTCCCCAGTACCAGCCATGTCTGGACATCTGTGCTTTAAACTGATCCAAGTTTCCTTGCATTTAAGGAAGATCTGATTTGAAAGTCATTTTTATGTGGAGAAAGTTTGACCGCAGCACAAGTGCTGCTTTCTTTTGCGTCTGACCTGCAGCAATCTCATTCTGGCTCATGGGGCGTCAGCGAGTCCTCTGTAACAGCTGTAACAGCCCGTGTGAGGAGAGCCGCTCTCACTCGCTGCACCCCTGGTGTGTACGGCTCGTGAGTGTTCATTGTATTTTAACTGAGGATCTGAACTCCACATAGAGTTGTTTACAGCGGCCAAAGTGACGCATGCGCCTTTTCCCCGTAAAACATATGGGTAATGTAGTCTCTGCTCATGGTGAGACAAAGGAGCCAGTGTGCATTGTGAAAGGCGCTCTGAAAGCTAAAGAACCAAAATAGATGTACAAATGAGCGAACCGGTCATAGACTAAGTATCGGTACGCCAAAAGTACATTATTTGCGCACGTAGAGATGGCGGTACACACAAGTAATTTTTGGAAGTGCGTACTGGCCCACATAAAGCACTGAGGAGAACATGGTTCACTTGGACTCGATGTCCCCCTCCTCCGTCAGTACCTTGGAGAAGCTCTCCCGGAGGTGCGAGTTGAAAGTCCGTCTGACAGGGGGCTCAGCGAGACGTTCCCAGCAGAGCCTCACTACACGCTTGGGTCTGCCAGGTCTGACCGGCTTCCTCCCCTGCCAGCAGATCCAACTCACGACCAGGTGGTGATCGGTTGACAGCTCCGCCCCTCTCTTCACCCGAGTGTCTGAGACACGTGGACGAAGGTCAGATGATACGACAACAAAGTCAATCATTGACTCTTCGGCCTAGGGTGTCCTGGTGCCACGTGCACTGGTGGACACCTTTGTGCTCGAACATGGTGTTTGTGACGGACAAACTGCGACTAGCACAGAAGTCCAACAACTGAACACCACTCAGGTTCAGATCGGGGTGTCACTGGCATGTCACTGGCATTTCCCACATGGGCGCTGAAGTCCACCAGGAGAATATTGAAGTACCCGGTCGGTGCACTGTCCAATACCCCTTCCAGGGACTCCAACAAGGCCGAGTACTTTGCACTGCTGTTACGCCCGTAGGCAGTCACAAATGTGAGAGACTTGTCCCTCACCCGGCGGCGTAGGAACGTGACCCTTTCATTCACTGGGGAGAACTCCAAAACGTGGCGGCTGAGATGGGGGGCAATGAATATGGCGGCCCCCGCTCGCCGCCTCTCCCCTCGAGAAACATCAGAAAAGTGGAGCGTCCTACCCTCTCAAGGAGTTGGGTTCCAGAGCCCAAGCTGTGTGTGGAGGTGAGGCCAACTATCTCTAGTCGGTATCTCTCAATCTCCCCCACGAGCTCTGGCTTTTTCCCCCCCAGTGCGGTGACGTTCCACGTCCTAAGAGGGTGTTGTGTGTGCAGACTGGGTCGCCAAGGTCTCCGCGTTCGCCAGCTGCCTAGTCCTCTCTGCACCTCTCCACCACGGATCCCTCTGTGGGTGGTGGGTCCACAGGAGGGCCGGCCACGTTGTCCTTTCGAGCTAAGCCCAGCCGGGGCCACCAGACGCTTACTTTCGAGCCCCAACCCCATGCCGGGCAACGTGGTTATTTATTTGCAATCGTAGTAGTTTATTTTATGGAGGATTTGGAACAAAAAGTGTACAACCCCGCAATGTAGACTATCATTTTTGAAATTCTATGTGAACGAATGTCCTGAAATAATACAATACGGACTCAGGCTCTCACAGACCTTAACAGCACAGCCCCATCCACACGCCAGGAGCAAGACCTTCGCTTTCCTGAGTGTTCAAATACACCACCACATCAAAATAATAGCATGTCGAAAACACACACACTCACACAGATCAGTGTTTACTCTGGACATAGGAACACCCCACTGCACACACTATCAGTATGAACACACACTCGCAGTAGGCGTACACACTCAGTAAGAACACTTTTGGACGGACCGCACCCATCAGAGAAGACAAGGAGAGGAGGAGGATGGTACCTGAACTGGGCCATAGAGAAAGGGAGACAGCAGGTGAAAGATAAAACACAAAAAAAAACAAGTGAAAAGGAGACAATAGGGCAAACAGGAAAACCTCAAATCAGCCATTTCAGATATAAGCACAAACAGGACCGGGAAGCCATTGTAATCAGAAACGATAGCATCAACCAGGATGAGGGAGCCTTTCTCCTGACCCACACATGGGACGACCTCTTCCAGAGACAACCTGGCAAAAGAGAGGGCGTGGTCAGCCTGAGCGAGCTGTCAATGAGGCTTACCACGGCCACTTAGAAAGTGAAATCAGGTGACCACGCCCATGACCATCAGCTGATAAATGACTGAGGCGGTGACAGTTCTGAAGATGGGTTGCAGCTCTGCAGCCGAAACATGTTAACAAGGTCACACACATTTCTCCATTGTGAGATCAATAAAGTTGATTTTTATCTACACACTCTAATATATAGTGCTATACACACACACTCAGGGCGTGTCTCTAACATCCTCTCGAATGCTGATGAGTGCTGTTGAGCCTCATTAGTGCCACTCGACTCTTAACGCTTCTGAAATGGAAATGTTGAGTGTAATCTGTGTGTTTCTTTTGTAAACGCTGTGCTCCCTGCGGAGCATGACAGAAGGCTCTGCATTAGCACTTCACAGCCTCCTCAAAACCTCCTCATGCTCTCTCCAGCACATTATCAGAGAGAGACGAGAGGAATCATCACAGCCTCTAAAGAGAGAGAGAGAGAGTGAGTGTGTGGAGAGAGCATGTGGAGGAAGCAGTGTGAGGCCGGTGCTGCACAAATGAGCTGTGTGCTTCATAAAGGCCCAAATCAAAGACCCGGAATCCACTGAGACACAAGGACTACAGAGACCATGGTGCTCAGCTCCAGCTGTGCTAGCACACACTCAGCTAGCAGCATGGATATATGATAATAACTGGATAGGGTATTACTAGCTTATAGCTGTCTCATCCAAGGTACTGAAGACTAAATTCATGTTGGCTACCTTGAAAAAATGTCCCATAGAACTCGATGTAAACTAAAACAGCTCGACTTCCATTGATTGGAAAAGGCCGCCGTCTTGGATCACCTCTGCTTGGAAAGTACACACATTGAGCTAGCACACATATGTAGCTACTACACACACACAGCTACAGCTGTAATTGTGTGTTTGATATTTGTGTGTTTGTGTTGCAGGACTACATGCAGAATGTCCATGGTAAAGAGATAGACCTCCTGAGGACCACGGTCAAAGTACCAGGAAAACGTCCCAGAGCTGTCGCCAAGAGCAATGGGCTGAACAAGGAGCTGAGCAACCTGCAGATCTCAGGTACCAGGTGACAGGGACGAGAGGAGAGGGACGAGAGGAGAGGGACGAGAGGAGAGGGACGAGAGGAGAGGGACGAGAGGAGAGGGACGAGAGGAGAGGGACGAGAGGAGAGGGACGAGAGGAGAGGGACCCGAGGAGAGGGACCCGAGGAGAGGGACCCGAGGAGAGGGACCAGAGGAGAGGGACCAGAGGAGAGGGACCAGAGGAGAGGGACCAGAGGAGAGGGACCAGAGGAGAGGGACCCGAGGAGAGGGACCCGAGGAGAGGGACCAGAGGAGAGGGACCAGAGGAGAGGGACCAGAGGAGAGGGACCAGAGGAGAGGGACGAGAGGAGAGGGACGAGAGGAGAGGGACGAGAGGAGGGGACGAGAGGAGAGGGAGGAGAGGGACCCGAGGAGAGGGACCCGAGGAGAGGGACCCGAGGAGAGGGACCCGAGGAGAGGGACCAGAGGAGAGGGACCCGAGGAGAGGGACCAGAGGAGAGGGACCAGAGGAGAGGGACCAGAGGAGAGGGACCAGAGGAGAGGGACCAGAGGAGAGGGACCAGAGGAGAGGGACCAGAGGAGAGGGACCAGAGGAGAGGGACCCGGTTGCAGGGACCAGATTGCAGGTACCAGGAGGCAGGGACCAGATCACAGCGGATCACAGGTACCAGGTCCCTGTGCTCTGGTAGCCGATCACTAGTATCACCATTGCTGCTGTTAGCTCATCAGTGTGATGCCTGCTGCGTCCTGCTGGGGGCAGTGTTGCTGACGACATGAGGATATAGAAGCTGACACTTAACAAGCGAGTTAACAAGCTGCGGAGGAGGACACAAATAATCATCAGCAAATGTGCCTAACGAGGACAGATCTGCTCCAATTACACTCATTTAAGAGCCCAGGGGGACAAACCAGACTAATGGGGTATGAGGGGGTCTGAAGCAGAACTAAAGCAGAACTAAAGCAGAACTAAAGCAGAACTAAAGCAGAACTAAAGCAGAACTAAAGCAGAACTAAAGCAGAACTAAAGCAGAACTAAAGCAGAACTAAAGCAGGACTAAAGCAGGACTAAAACAGGACTAAAACAGGTTTAAAGCAGGTCTAGAGCCGGACTAGAGTAGGACTAAACCAGGTCTAACGCAGGTCTGGACCAGGTCTAAACTAGGTCTAAACTAGGTCTAAACTAGGTCTAAACTAGGTCTAAACCAGGTGTAAAGCAGGTGTAAAGCAGGACTAAAGAGGGTCTAAAGCAGGACTAAAGCAGGACTCAGTGTAGTGTTTGAAGCTGGCACAGTGCACTGTTCTGGGTCTTTATGGAGAGTTTACTTTGGCGTCGCTCCTGGTTTGTGTCTGATGAATCTGTGTTTATGACTGACAGCTGCACAGATGTGTGGGAGGAGCCAGACCATCAGGAGACCAGGGACCAGGCCCATAAACCTGCTGCTGAGGCTACACAAACATGAGACCAAGCCAGAGACCAGGCCAGAGACCAGGCCAGAGACCAGGCCAGAGACCAGGCCAGAGACCAGGCCAGAGACCAGGCCAGAGACCAGGCCAGAGACCAGGCCAGAGACCAGGCCAGAGACCAGAAGTCTGTCACAGTCATCAGGAAGTGTAAAGTTTAGAAAGCATTTATTGAACCCACCTCTGGTCTTTCTTTCTGGTCTCTTTCAGGGTCTGTCAGTAGCAGCTCTTCTGTAGTGTCACAGATGGCCTCTGGGGGGCATCAGAGATCCTTCTCTGTGTCCAGTGCTGACCAGTGGACGGAGGCCGCGGTGATCGCCAACGCTGCCATCAACACAGGTAGGAGGACAGGTACAGGTACGAGTACAGGTAGGAGGACAGGTATGAGTACAGGTACCAATACGAAATATACCAGATAGTTGATTAGCTCCACAGCTCCCCTTGTGGTCTGTGTTATTTCTTTAGAACATCTAAAAAAGAACAGAAACATTCACCAAATCACAGACATTTTACCTCAGATGAACAAGGTTTTGTTGCCGCGACGCTAACGACAGATGACATCACTCGTTCCTGGGTGATTGACAGCTGCTGCAGGCCTCAAAGTTTAGTTCAGAAAAACGCTGCACTTAGAGTCTGTCACTAACCATCAATGACACACGGCTAACGAGCTCTCGATACACTCATACCGCACCGAGAAGCAGCCCCAGGCCTCTGATGCATCCTGGCTCTCTCTGCTCTAAAATTGCGTCTCCTTTGGTCTCTGGTCTCTCTCTCTGGTCTCTCTTGTGTCTCAGGTCCAGACTCTCTCTGGTTTAACCCTCTGGTCTCTGGTCCAGACTCTCTCCTGGTCTCTCTCTGTTTTAACCCTCTGGTCTTTGGTCTAAACCTGGTCTCTTTTTTGGTCTAAACCTGGTCTCTCTTTGGTTTCTCTCTGGTCCCTGGTTTAATCTTTTGGTTTCTGGTCTCTGGTCCAGACTCTCTCCTAGACTCAGTCTGTTCCAGTCCGAAGATGGAGCCTCCTCCGTCTCCTCACGCAAACCGCAAGAAACATCGACGCAAGAAAAGTACGAGTAACTTCAAAACAGACGGACTACAGGCCACAGAAGGTACTACACATAGACACAAGCACACACACACGTGCTCTCTCTGGTCTCTCACTGGTCTTCTGCTGGTCTCTGGTCTCTCTCTGGTCTTTTTCTTGTCCCTCCCTGGTCTCTCCCTGGACTCTCTCTGGTCGCTCTCTGGTCTCTCTCTGGTCTCTCTCTGGTCTCTCTCTGGTCTCTCTCTGGTCTCTCTCTGGTCTCTCTCTGGTCTCTCTCTGGTCTCTCTCTGGTCTCTCTCTGGTCTCTCTCTGGCCTCTCTCTGGCCTCTCTCTGGTCTCTGGTCTGTGATTGGTCGGTAGCAGACCTCTGTCACAGCTACTCTCTGAAAAACAGATCAGAGGAACGACATCTGGACAAACACTGCTCCAAACTGTCTTTCAATTAAGACACACGCACACACAGACACACGCACATAAAGACACAAAGACACACACGCACACACAGAGTAAATGGTCGGAAATTGACAGATTGGTTTAGTAGTAATTGTCACTGAATGTAAAACGATGATTGTGGCTCATGTCCAACTGTGTGTGTCTCTGTGTGTGTGTGTCTCCCCCCTTCCCTCCCTCCATCTCATAATTCTCCATTTCTTTTGTGTTGCTGTTTTGCTGCTGACCTTTCTCTGAGACGTTTGTGCAATTATTGTGTTTAAAACGCTACACGAGCGCTAACATTTAGAAGTGCGGCAGCAGCGGCGGCGTGTTGCCTCAGGCCCGGATCCCGAGGCCACGGGTCACACACAGAATGCGGGTGTGTGTGTGTGTGTGCGCGCATTACGTGTACATGTTACTATAATTTCAAAGTAATGTGTTTCTGCAATATTACTGTCTCTGAATTGTAAAGCTTCACAATACTACTGCATTACTTTGAACTTACCCCATATACGGTATATATATATATATATAGTATATATACTGTATAATCTAGAAAGTAACTGTGGCTTATGCTGCTTTAGTTTGAGGTTGATAGAGATTTTAGTTTGAAAATAAAGTCACATGTTTCTGTTCCACATCTGAGATTGAGTGAGATTGTGTGTGTATATGTATATGGTAGTATTTTAGGGCTGTCAAACAATATTTCTTTTTAATCGCGTTAATTACAGCTTAAAAATTAATTCATCGTGATTAATTGCATTTCTAACTATCGGCAAAATTATGCCCTATTTTTCTGTAAATGGTTGTTTGAAATAGAAAGATAAATGACTACATAGTGTACATATGTTCTGTATTTGTTGTGTATTTTATAACAACAATATATCCACATAAAATGGCATTAACATTATTAAAATTCTGTCTTTCTGTTTAGACTCAGACCAAAACTATTGTTTGTTACAGATGAGGGATATTTCAAAACTGTCTGAAATGCAGAATGTCATTAAATCTGTTTGATTTGCTCACATTATTTTACTTTTGGGCACAACCAACATGAACTGATAGTGGAAGGGAATAATTAGATACCCCAGCTTTAATTTAGCGAGTGCGCTTCGGGAGAAGACACGGAGGAGACTGAGGCTTCAGAGGTGCATTCATTGCATGCACAGGTTACACGAAGACACGCACACAACCAGCAGAGAATAGTCCTGTGCACGTGACGTTACGGCGGCACCGTTCAACATGCTGGAGGATGGAACCTCTGTCCAGAGCGGCCGGGTCAGAACGCTGCAGCCACGGAGGATGCGGACTTCAGATGCGCGTATTCTTTTGTAAACCAGAATTCCCAGAGACCTGCTTTGTCACCATCACACGCTCGTGTCTGCGGCATTCTGAGTGATATTATAGGATGCATGGGCAGGTTCCGTAAATGCGTTAAAAAAATGTGCGCGATTATTGAAAAAAATCAGTTAACGCAATAATTTTGACAGCCCTAATATATATATTCGAACGAACATTAGACAGCCCTTAATAGTCAATATTCATATTAATGGGCATCATATTTTACATATATATTTAATGTAGTGTAGTTCCCAAAGGTTTTGCCGTAACATGGCCAGACCATGGATCTATAAGGGCTAGACGGTTATGGGCAGAATGTGTTGATTTACAGACAGAAGTAGTGACAGACGCTGAAAGCCTGTTGTACTTGCGGAGTAATTTTCGTATTTTACACACCTGAATTAAAAGCATGAATTATGAGCATTGGGTATCAGCTCTGATTGTCACCCCCCCCCCGACCCAGAAATGGAATAATAAAGGGGTGGAAAAAGTGTTGCCAAAGGGCATTCAACACAATAGAGCGTTCCACTGCTGCTGTGAGTAACTGTATGTGTAAGCTAATAATAATCTTGGCTGTGTATACCTGTCTTGGCTCTTCTGGACATCGCCACAGACGTTCCATTCCTCTATGCGTCTCTTCTCTTCGCACCATGTTTATAAAAGCTCCTTAGAGCCTCAGAGCAGCGCGCGGGCGCTGCGTTGGCTTTGTTTAGATGTCAGCCTCCACACACGTGCGGTGGAGGCTACCGTGTCAAGTGACTAAGACAAATGGAGAAATCCGATCATTTGTCAAACTAAAGGATTCTTTCCTTGGCTCCCCGGTTCGAATGACCGGGGGTTGGGGACCACTGTCAAAGACGACATATTGTCCATTGAAGGCTTCCATAGTGCTGTTGGTTCACGGTAGACTGCAACTTATGATCTCAACGCTAGATAGAAGCAAAAACTGCTCAGTGTACCTTTAAGCAACAAATATTGTCTATTTTTGTCCCACAGAGTCCAACTGACCAATGCAGCCTCTGCCTTAAGCAGCAATAACCATTGTCTTCACTTCACCTTAAAGCAGTCACCTGGTCCTTAAAGCAGTCACCTGGTCAGTCACCTGGTCCTTAAAACACCTAGCTGCGCTATGTTTAGCATTGAACTAATGCTAGCTGCTCTTTGTTTAGCCTTGAGATGACGCTAACTCTCTGTGTGTGTGTGCGTATGTGCGTGTGTGTGTCGGCGTCGGCCCTGGGGCCTCTGTCTCTGATTGGTCTTAAATGTCAGCGCCTCTGGATCCAGTCTGATTCACTCCATTACACAGAGGTTTATACAGGTCTCTGAGACCAGGGTCTGATCCAGGTCTCTGAGACCAGGGTCTGTACAGATTCAGTTGACCTGCCCTAGTCCTACTTTAAATCTGCTTTATTCCTGCTTCAGTCCTACTTCAGTCCTACTTCAGACTTGGTTCAGACCTGGTTCAGACCTGGTTCAGACCTGGTTCAGACCTGGTTCAGACCTGGTTCAGACCTGGTTCAGACCTGGTTCAGACCTGGTTCAGTGTTTACTGCATCTCTTTCTCATCAGAATAATTTGCTTTTGTGTCGGTGGATGATTCTGACCCCAGGCTCTCATTAAAAACACACTCATTTATAGAATTATTATATACGCTCCATTGAACTAGACCTGGACTAGACCTGGACTAGACGTGGAATAAACCTGGACTAGACCTGGACTAGACCTGGACTAGACCTGGAATAGACCTGGACTAGACCTGGACTAGACCTGGACCAGACCTGCACTAGACCTGGTTCAAGGCTTTCTTCCATATCATGTTTACATGTACTCTTATCACACTACGTCCATTGAGACTTATGAAACCTGGGGGATAAAGACTTATGAGACCTGGGGGGTGAAGACTTATGTGACCTGGGGGGTGGAGACTTGTAGTCCCAGTGTAAACCTTGAGTAACCCCATGACTTACTGTCTGGACCTGAACATATGTCATCTCTCAAACAGTGCTAGTTTTACACGTTTATTTAGTCCAGGTTTAAACATCCCACATGATCTCAGAAGGTCCTGGTGCAGACCCTGATGCAGACCCTGGTACAGACCTTGGTACAGACCTTGTTGCAGACCCTGGTGCCGACCCTGGTGCCGACCCTGATGCAGACCCTGATGCAGACCCTGATGCAGACCCTGATGCAGACCCTGATGCAGGCCCTGATGCAGAGGTGACTTGTGTTGTATTTTTGCAGAAGCAGACGAAAGCTTCGACTTCCACATCGTGTCGCTCACAGGTCAGAGCTGGCACTTCGAGGCCACGTCCTACGAGGAGCGAGACTCCTGGGTCCAGGTCATTGAGGCCCAGATCCTGGCTTCTCTGCAGTCCTGCGAGTCCAGCAAGAGCAAGGTAACAGCTACTGTACCTTGCTCTGTCCATCTTGCTCTTTAATGTTACAGACCCCAGCTTTAATGTTACATACGCCAGCTTTAATGCCTTTCTTCTGTTCTGTAGTCCCGTTTACCGAGTCAGACTGAAGCCATGGCTCTGCAGGCCATCAGGAGCCAGCGCGGGAACCAGCACTGTGTGGACTGTGGCGCTAGCAGTGAGTCTCAACCATAGACTGTAATTATTAACGGACGTAGTTACGCTTCTCTCCGCCGTTGAAACTAATGTACCGTCACTTTTGCCTTCTGAGGGGCTTTTTCATAATGGCTGTGGACAGCCCATCCCACAGGAAATTGTGAAAAAGCGCAGGGGAGGGGACCAGCTCACACAAACAGGGGAGGGTACTAGTCGATACAAGCTGGAGAAAGGACCAGCTGAAAAGATTTTCATGTTTGATTTTTTTATTCTGGATCCGCAAAAATAAGTATACAATACATAACATTATAACATAAGGGCTGTATATAGCCTAGTTACCATAGTTACCACTGTTACTGCATTTACAGTTACTACAGTTACCACAGCGACCACCTTTACCATAGTTACCACAGTTACACGGTTACTACAGTTTCCATCGTTACTATAGTTACCTCAGTTAGCCCCTCAATCTGACCTCTTACCTCTTCTCAGCTTCAGTGTGACCTCTGACCTCTGTCCGCAGACCCAGACTGGGCGAGCCTGAACCTGGGGGCCCTGATTTGTATCGAGTGCAGTGGGATCCACCGTCACCTGGGCACACACCTGTCCCGCGTCCGCAGCCTGGACCTGGACGAGTGGCCCCCAGAGCTGCTCAGGGTCCTGGGGGCCATCGGCAACGAGCTGTGTGCACGAGTCTGGGAAGGAGGCAACCAGGGGAGGCCCAGACCAGCACCAGACGCAACCAGGTGAGAACTGAAGGAGGGGGGCAACCAGGGGAGGCCCAGACCAGCACCAGACGCAAACCAGGTGAGGACTGAGGGAGGGGGGCTCCCAGGGGAGGTCCAGACTAGCACCAGACGCAAACCAGGTGAGGGGAGCCAGACCAGGACCAGAAGCAGCCCGGTGAGGAGACCAATACACCAATACAAGTCAGGGAGGGGACATCCCTCTCTCCTGTACTCTCTCTCCTCTTTTCTCTCTCTCAGTGCAGATTCATAAATTCATTAGTTCATCTGCAGCTCGTTAGCTCTGACACTGACCACATTTGCGCACATTGACTGTGTGTGTGTGTGTGTGTGTGTGTGTGTGTGTGTGTGTGTGTGTGTGTGTGTGTGTGTGTGTGTGTGTGTGTGTGTGTGTGTGTGTGTGTGTGTGTGTGTGTGTGTGTGTGTGTGTGTGTGTGTGTGTGTGTGTGTGTGTGTGTGTGTGTGTGTGTGTATTGAGAGCGTAGATCAGATAATTGAGATGATATTGATGAGTTTGTGGAGCACAGAGGAGATAAACTGTAACTGAAAGAAGACCACACAATGTCAATACTCTGTGTGTGTGTGTGTGCGTGCATGCGTGTGTACACAGTTTCAGGGCTACATCCATCCAAGATTCTGAACAGTACATGCCACTGCTGCTGCTACTGCTGCTGCTACTGTTACTGCTGCTGCTACTGCTGCTGCACTACTGCTGTTACTACTGCTGCTACTGCTGTTACTACTGCTGCTACTGCTGTTACTGCTGCTACTGCTACTGCTGCGGCGGCGGTGTGCGCGTTCTGACGGCTCATAATTAGCTGCAGCAAATTGAATCAAGCGTTTGGCCTTTTCTGCGGTGATTACCTCCTCCCCCTCCCCTCTGTAATTACCCAGCATGCCGAGGGTCAGGGGGAGGCTGGCGGCCATATTTAACATTAACATGATCCGCGCGTTAATTAACCTGCAATCGTTAAACTGACCGAACGCGAAATGAGACCAGGATGAGTGCGAGCGAGTAAGAGAGGGAAGGGAGAGGGGGGAGGGGGAGTCAGAGAGAGGAGGTTTATACCTTTAAACATCAGCTGAAAATTGACGGAAAAAAGGAAAAGACAACCCTTTTTTTTTATGGGCCAGATATATATATAAGCAGTAATATAATTTAAATAACTGGATAAAATGTTACCTTTACTTCCTGTTAGCATGACTGTTGTTAACATTAGCATGTTTGGAGCGCTGTAGTTAGCATTAGCTGTGACTCACACATGCAAACTGCTGATGATGAAATATGTATCATTTTGATCTGAGAGAGAGTCTTAGCTTACAGGCTATATGTGAGCTATTGTTAGCGTTACCCTCTGAGGCTAATGTGAGCTACATGTAATCTTAGTGTTAGCCTTTGAGGCTAATGTGAGCTAATCTTAGCGTTAGCCTCAGAGGCTAAAGTGTCTGTAAAGGTTAAACACATTTATCACTCGCCCACAGACACAAGATAATGATCCACCCAAAGACCAGACCTGGACCAGACCTTGACCAGACCTGAAATAGACCTGGATTAGACCTGGACAATACCTGGACCAGACCTGGAAAATACCTGGAAAAGACCTAGACTAGACCTGGACAAGACCTGGACAAGACTTGGACTCGCCCTGGACTCGACCTGGACTCGACCTGGACTCGACCTGGACTTGACCTGGACTCGACTTGGACTCGACTTGGACTCAACCGCGACTCGACCGGAAATAGACCTGAAATAGACCTGAAATAGACCTGGACTAGACCTGGACTAGACCTGGACTAGACCTGGACTCGACCTGGTTCAGATCTAGACAAATATAATGATAATAATTTATCAGTTTTATATAAGGCGTTTTTGACCTGGACGAGACCTGGAAAGATACTATTAAAAACGACACAAAAGTAAATACTATAAAACAAAATATTTTTACTAAATTATTAAGGAACAACAAAATATAAGAAAGACAGAAATGTTAAAAGGAGAAACATTATGATGAATTTGAATTTTAAAAAAACTCAAAGAAACCATCAACAAACTCTCCCTCCCCTTCCCTCTCTCTGGCCCTGTCTACGCGTAGCCGGGTATCTGCTAAACCGGAGATTTTTGTCTTTGCACCAGTCATCCACATGACAACGCATCATAAACAAATAAATAAAAAACTTAGATTTTTGAAAACTCTGTTTATGCAGTTGCGTGCATCAAAGCTCCGCCCACTTCTGTGTTTTTCCCCAACGCAGGACGTCAGAGGACGCACATGTTTTGAACGTTATGAATGTGATTGAAAACGCAGGTGTTCGATTATGTCTGGATGAGTTTTTTTGTAATGTGGATACAAATTATTTTATAAATGGGGGAGAAACATTTGGTTTTGAAAATACCCGGCTACGTGTGGACATGGCCTCTGTCTCTTCTCTACCCTTTCGCTCTCGTCCCCAACCTCCCACTCTCCCTCCCTGTTCTCCCCCTTTGTTCTCTCTCTGGATCTCGCTCCAGTTTAACTTTTTCTGCTTCAATTGAATCTGAATTAGAGCTTAATGATGCGCTCAAGCAAATAAGAGAAGAGTAGAGAGAGGGAATAAAGTAGGACTAAACAGGACTAAAACACGTCTAAAGCAGGGCTAAAGCGGGACTAAAGCAGGCCAACTGGCACGGTCACATAGGTTTGTAGAAACTATCAAGGCCAAGTGGCCCGGATCGTCGCCACAGGAGTGTGAAGACGGGTGTGAAGGGTTTATTTTTTCAACCGTGCCAGCACAAAAATGGTGCAGTACAATGCTCGGTCCAGCTGTTGGCGCTAATACTAACTTTAGCGACTACCAGTTTCCTTTTCTCCTCCTGTCAACACTCGACCCTCTTCATCTGGGCTTTACAACCGTGCTCAGGCCCAGTTGCTGCGGTCACACGACACATAAAGCCCGAATCTATTCACAATCTGGGCTAAGGCCACTTTAACCGGGATTTAGGCTGTGCTGTGACCGCAGCCTAAAACGGGTCTACAACAGGTCTAAAACAGGTCTAAAACAGGTCTAAAACAGGTCTAAAACAGGACTAAAACAGGACTAAAACAGGACTATAACAGGACTATAACAGGACTATAACAGGACTATAACAGGACTATAACAGGACTATAACAGGACTAAAGTAGGTCTAAAACAGGACTATAACAGGACTAAATCATAACTAAAGCAGGACTAAAACTGGGCTAAAGCGCAAATGAAGTAGAAGTGATTTGCTGCACGTTCCTCTGATAAAATCCCATCTTTTAAAGACGACATGTTTCCTGTCGTCTCGTCGTCCCATTATCAGTAATTGATTCAGTCCACGGTTAATTAGCGACGAGTTCAGCGGTCTAGACCTCGGTAGTCCTCGTTAGTCCTTGTTAGTCCTGGTCCAGGTCTCGGCTCGTTAATGAGGCTCTAATGAAGGAGAGCAGAGCTAACAGCATCCATCACTGTCACACAGAGCAACCCTGCAGGCTCTGCTCAGACCACGGAGCAAGTCAGCGATCAGAGGATTTTTCTCTCACACACGTGTGAGTGCAGCGCATGGACAGAGGTTGATTTTAGGACATTTTTGCTACATTTTAGAATTGAGGATGCATCGGGAAGCAGTTCCAGAGCAGAACTAGAGTAGGACTAAACCAGGTCTATCGCTTGACAAAACCAGGTCTAAACCAGGACTAGACCAGGACAAGACCAGGACTAGACCAGGACTAGACCAGGACTAAACCAGGACTAAACCAGGACTAAACCAGGACTAAACCAGGACTACAGCAGGACTACAGCAGGACTACAGCAGGACTACAGCAGGACTACAGCAGGACTACAGCAGGACTACAGCAGGACTACAGCAGGACTACAGCAGGACTACAGCACGTCTAAACCAGGACTAAAGCCGGACTAAAGCCGGACTCAAGCAGAACTCAAGCAGGACTCAAGCAGGACTAAACCAGGTCTAAGTGTGAGGTAATGAGTTTACGTCTGGTTTATAAACAGTATAGTACAGAAAGGGGGGGTTAAATACACACACACACACACACACACACACACACACACTAAAGTGGAGTTAATTAGCGCAATTATATGGTGTGCTTGGAGAGCGATCAGAGCTTGTTAGCCTCGTTAGCCTCGTTAGCGTCATTATATTGGAGTGAATAATCCGGGCGCTAAAAACATGTGACACACGTTGGCACATTAGTGCTGACTCGACCCGATTACACGGAGAACCAATCTCTGGTCTCTCTCTCTGGTCTCTCTCTTTCTGGTCTCTCTGGTCTCTTTCTGGTCTCTTGCTCCGGTGTCTATTGTCTCTCTATGATCTTTAAATCTTGTCTCTCTGGTCTCTCTACAGTCTCTCTCTATGATCTATCTCTGGTCTCTCTCCTGTGGTGAACTATGACACAGGTCTAAACAACCCTCTGACCCTGTGTGTGTGTAGAGAGGAGAGAGAGAGGTGGATCAGAGCGAAGTATGAGCAGCGTCTGTTGGTGGCGCCTCTCCCCTGCACAGACCTGGCTCTGGGACATCAGCTGATCAGAGCCGTTACCGACGACGATGTGGCTGAGGTGGTGCTGCTGCTCGCTCACGCCTCCAGAGTCCAAGTCAACTGCCCCCACAGCGAGAGAGACCCCCGCACTGCATTGCACGTGTCCGCCAGCAGGGGCAGTGTGGTGACCACACAGCTGCTAATATGGGTATATACATTTATATATTTATTTATACACATATATATATACAAATACACACATATACACACTGCAACACATGTGTCCGCCACCAGGGGCAGTGTGGTGACCACTGCTGCTAATATGTGCCAGCAAACATTGCCAGGATCAAAAATATAGTGTCTAAAGCAGACTTGGAGATTCTTATCCATGCATTTGTCTCCAGTAGGTGACTACTGCAATGGCCTGCTCA